CTTTACATAATGCTTATAACAACAATTACTACTTTGTACAACGGTTCATAACATCTCCCCCCTTAAGATGGAGGCTTATCCTTTAAGATAAATGTAGGATACAATAAAGTCAAGATCCTAAGTTAATACAATAAAATATTGAAATATAGTAAAATCATTCAACAATTATAAAAAATTTAACTGATACAATTGCAATAGCTAATGCTTTATTTTAATTGACAATCTTATTCAATTAACAACTAAGAAACATAATAATAAGGAATATAAAACTTGAAAAAGAAATGAGTGAATTTTAATCGCTACATTATAAAGCAAAGTAATATAAATATTAATCGAATAATAACTAAGAAAATTAAAAATAGTTTTGAAAAGAATTTTACAATTTTAATTGTTATTTGACTATATTAATAATAATTATCAATTGAAACTTAAAACATTTTTAGAAATATTAAAATAATAATATTATTTAATTTATAACAAGAAACATGCTATGAAAAGAAATTAATAAATTTTAATTTTTAATAATTGCTTAAATTTTGGTTACAAGAAGCTCTGTTAAATTTCCTAAATTGAGCCTTGTTTTTACTTATCTCTATTTCTGGGAGACTGCTAATGGATTTCTTGTCGCATTCAATTGATTCATCTGAGATATCCGTTAGTTCAATAGAAGTGTTAACATTAGTATCGTTTTTATTACATTTTTTATTATAACACTGATTATATATTTGGATGCAACAAGATGTATTTTTACAACAATTTGAAAAGCATTTATTATATATCTTATACAGTATATAACTAAAAATACTGGCAACTACAATATAAGTAAGCGTTGAATAATAATGCCTTTTGGTGTTTTGGATTGGGGTTTTTTTTTTTCTTATTTAACGTCAATGTATTTTTTTTTTTTTTTCTTTTCCGTTTTATATGTTATTTTTTTTTTTTTTGGTTTAATTAAAAAATTAACAATTTTTTTAATTTTTTTTTTTTTTTTTTTTTAAAAAATTTAAAAAAAAACCTTATAAACACAAATTAAAAACAAACAAATAAATAAGCAAAGGGGATTTTTTTAATTTTTTTTCAAATGAGGCTGATTCTCGGCTTGATGAATTTGATTCTTTAAACTATCTAATTTATATGACGCTAATTTTAACGATTCCAAATCAATATCTGTTAGCGTAATTGGGTTTAGGACATTAGAACTGTGGTTTAATAAATTGTATTTGCAACAATTATCTTCAACCATTGAGCTATTATGTATTACGTACTAGAGGCGACACTGCATACAGCTACTGTGTTCCACTCAACTGCGGTGCATACACCGCACTTTAGTCACTCGCTAGCTTGCTACATATTTATTTATCTATGCTCGCTAGGCGCTTATAGAGTTGTCACGTGTTGTGTTGATTTAAAAAATCTCTTGATAAAAACATGCCGTCGTGTGTACTTAGATATTGCACAAATAATTCAAGAAATGTCAGTAAAAACCAAGGAATTACTTTACATCGGTTAATAAGATACTTAATCAATAAAAACGTATTATGTACTAATAATAAAACAAATTATTCCTAAGACGCCATCTCGTGTCATGGAATATAGATTATGAAATCAATATGTTCAGATGCGACATTTCTGTGGGTACTTAAGTATAGGACGAATATTATATTATTATACACATTTTTTTGTAGAAACATATGTAAGTTATTATAATTTGGCAAAATTTTTCATGTTTAAATCTGCTTATTATTCTTTTATTTAATTTTAGGTTTCCACATCAAAGTCAAAGTTATATAAATTCGTCCATTTATTTATGAACGACTTTTAATCTAACTTAAATAAAGATATTTGTAATTTAAATGTTATGTTAATAAGTTTTGTTAAACATACATTTAGTATGTTTTCTTTATATTTGACTTAGATACCTTTTAAAATATTCAGACAAAAATATGATTAAAATGGAATTATGATATAATATTATGTAATATTATATTAAATAAGCAAATATAACATACAAAATAAATGACAAAATTTTAATATTGTTCTCAATATAATTTACCTATTTAACAATACAATCTACTATTACCTACGGATCCTTCTACCTATGTTTATTCTATGATTAAAAAAAGCAACCGCGCGAACACAGAGTAGCGCACATTTTTTGTTTGAGATAGCTGTTCTAGTACGTAAGTACATATTACTTCAATGTCTTCAACTATGTTAAAATCGATTGATATTTGGCTAGGCAGCACAGCCTTATAATTATGCGATGGGTGAAATTGCAATGTTTGGTAATATGCAACGCAATCATTTTTTAAAGATAATATTCCAGTGCCTTGTACGGTATAATCCGAAATCTTATTATCATTTGTACATTTAACAGTCAATTTATTTGGTTTGGACTGAATATAAATAAATCGTCCATCACTAAGTTTTTGCCATATATTAATATTACCATATATTATTTTCGAATCGTATATTTCTGGAAGTGACAAAATTACTTCAGTCAAGAGTTGAGTTTCACAGGTTGGATTATTAATTGTGGACAAAACAGAAGGTGACAAACATATCATAAACTGGTCACTTAAACTATCAAACAATGCGTAATTTAATCTATCATCCGTAAGGGCTACATACAGCTTGGAAGGATGAATGAGAATATAAGTTTGTAAATTATACTTATCATGCTGTGTAGGTAATGGTAAAATCTTATAAACACTAAACTTAATAGGGTTAATTAAAGGAATTCTCATAACAAATACTATCTTATTATTATAGTAATACGAAGTTAATTCGGCTAAATCAATAATTGTACGTATATTCTCTAATGATAAGGAAATGGGAAACTCCACATTAATTTTGCTCATTTTGCTATTAGAGAGCTCCTTAAATAACTTAGTGGGAGTTAGGACGTAGGGATGGAGGATGTTTGATTTTGCAAATAAAATAGAGTTTAAAATTGTATCTAGTATGTTGGAAACCGATAGCAGTGAACCTTCAATCACATTAAAAATAGAATTTATTTTAGCTGAACTAATTAAGTCTGTAGTAATTTTAGAATTTTCAGAAAATATGTAATTTAATTTTTCTATTTGTTTATTTAATCTAATTTGGTTATTATTTAATTGACGAATAGAAATTATGACGAATAAATATTATTTCAAACGGCTTGGTGCTTGAGGACGTTATGACCATGGGTGCCTTATTATAGGTGCGCAACGGCTTATTAATTTGACATAGAGTACAATCTTTAACGACGCGTTCTATGTCTGCACGCATATTTTTCCAATAAAACAAAGATTTAATTCTACTATACATGCGTTTTATACTTGGGTGACCAGCTATGGTAGTCCCGTGGTTTTCTTTTAAAATGTTTGGAATCTCGGCTGGAGAAGGGTATTGTATTCGATTTTTGCATATGTGAACCTTAATATTTGTTGCATGGAAAATATAAGATATTATATTGTAAATCTTTAAGTACTATACTAACTTTTTAAATGGTTTGGAAAAGTCAGATAATGCTATCTCAGTATCGTAATTATCTTTAGAAATAATTAAGTCCCTAAACTTACGTAATAAATTATAAATTGCTTATAACTTGTCTCGTCATAATGATGAACTTTAGTATAAAGAAAGTAAAATGTTTTATTGTTAGAGTCGACCGAGTGTACGGTTTCAGGTTCGCGTTCCGCTGATAACAACTCGGATCATTGACAATAGCTGTTCACAGTTCGGCATAGAGCAATCAAAGTCCAGAGAGACTGGACAAGCAATTATTTTTTTTTGTTTTGCAGTATATAAACTTTGATTATGCTCTTCAATTTGTGTATCATTAGAAATTGTTTTTGTAAATTGTTTCTTAAAAAATTGTTCATATGTAGTCTTATTTAATTTAGAATGCGTGATAGCGTTTACTGGATTACGAGATAAAGCATCCGCATTTGAATTAATTCTACCTGGCTTGTAAACGATTTCAATATCGTATTCCTCTAATTTTAATCGCCATCTGAGCAAACGTCCACCTGAATCTTTGGCATTGAATAGCCATGTAAGAGGGCGATGATCTGTGACAATCTGAAATTTATACCCATAAAGATACGGTCGAAAAGTATTAAAACTAAAGAGTATTGCTAATAATGCCTTTTCTGTAGTGGAATAGTTTCCTTCTTGTTTATTTAAGGTACGAGATGCATAGGCGATAGGTTTATCTTTACCAATCTCGCCCTGAGACAAAACTGCGCCAATAGGGTAATTAGAAGCGTCGGTAGTTACGATAAAAGGTTGAGAGAAGTCAGGATATTGTAGTAAAGGAGCTGTAACCAATTTTTGGAGCTTTTAACCAATGTTCAGTAATACATAAAATATGAATATTTTTGCTATTTTAGAACAATTCAATTACTAGCTCTTTGCCTATCATGCCTTGTATATTCTGATGCACCAGGTGTAAACAATTTTTATTATCATTTTGTGGAGTTATACAACTGCAACTATTAAGGATTTGTAAGCTACATTCTAAATTATTTAAATTATTATAACTGCTAGAGATTACCTCTATTGTCTCATTTTCAAATTACAATTACTTGGAACGGATTCCAAATTGCATGTCAAATCATAATGCTGCTCAATAGGAGCAGATGTCTGGGTAGCCAAGTCCTTGACTTAGTTAATATATAAATAATAGGATAGCAAATTTGCTATCTGTCTTAACCTTTAAGTAGTGACGTGGATGTCTCACAGACGGCCTCGATGCAAAAATCGGTCTCGTGGCGTTAATTTTTTAAAGACGCTCCCGCCCCTCCCGCTACCTTCGGGTTTCGGTGGCGTGATCGGTCAGTCGAGTGCTCGCGATCGTGGCAGCAACACCTGTACCTGTACAACCGTTTGGTGTCCCTGAGACGTGAGGTCAGTATTTGCGTAAATGATTTATTAGACGTCACTACAGTATTAGTGTATTTTTTTCTAAGTGTCTCTTATTCGTCACCTCACTGTGTACGTTATTCTTTTAGATGGATCAACCTGGACCTTCAGGAAACAGTCGAAAGCGAAAGCGAGTAGCTCTAAATACTTCGACAAATGAAAAGACCTTAAGTCAGTGGATAGAGGCTGAGTTGGAGCGAGACTTCAGTGATGTGGACGATGAAGACGTGGATCCAGATTTCTGTTTGCACAGTGATCATGACTCGGCTTCAGAACAATCTGAGGATGAAGAAACTCAATCTCAACGACAAAGATCACCCCGCAGTTCAGTTGCGATGCAAGATTCAGGTCTATCTTCAATACAAGAAAATATACACACAAAATCCCAAAGATACTACATAGGTAATAATGGTTTTAAATGCTCAAGCGATGAACCAGTGATGCGTAACTGTCGTTCACTAAGCCACAACTTGGTTGACATACTTAGATCACAGTCTAGAGCATTCACCAACCTAGAAACCTTGTGGAGACATTTTATGGATGACAATATTACTGACAAAATAATTGAATATACCAACAAAAAACTTGCCCAGATACGGGTAAAATATAAAAATCAGGAAAAACCTGAGCTTCGCAACACGGACGCAGAAGAAATGAAGGCTTTCTTCGGGTTATTATTTTACTCATCTGTCTTCAAATCTAACCATGAGAATGCCAAATATATATTTGCTACAGATGGTTCAGGCCGATAGATATTTCGTGCAGTTGTGTCTCAGTATAGATTTCTTACACTTTTGAACTGCATTCGCTTTGACGATGTACCAGACAGCAACGACTAGAGACTGACAAACTGGCAGCAATTTCGGATATATTTGAAAACTTTATATCTAATTGCAAAAAAGTTTATATACCCGGTGCTTACTTATGCGTAGATGAAATGCTTGCTCCCTTTAGAGGCCGATGCAAGTACATAATTTATATGCCCAAAAAACCAGCAAAATACGGACTTAAAATTTTATTAGTTTGTGATGCTGAGACATTTTATGTCTATAATGCTTATATCTACTGTGGCAAGGAATCGGATGACAAAAAGTTTGCAATTCCTACACAGTCTGTTTTGCGACTTTGTAAAGACTTTGAGAACACCAATCGTAACATCACTGCTGACAACTGGTTCAGCTTCTATGAGCTAATGGAGCACCTAAATAGAGAGGTCTGATTTATTTCGGAACTCTAAAAAAAAATAAACGTCACATTCCACCTGAATTTCAAGCGTCCAAAACAAGAGAACCTGAAACAGCATTCCATGGATTTACAAAAGACTTTACCTTGGTTTCTTATGTTCTTATCTTACTGATTTCGTCCATGCATCACACGTCCGAAATTGATCCCGTTACCAAGAAACCGGTTATCATAATGGAGTATAATAAGACAAAGGGTGGGGTTGATGAAGTTGATAAAAAATGTTCAAACTATTCCTGTAGCCACCGCACTCGCAGATGGCCTTTAGCATTATTTTTCAGATTGCTAGACTTGAGCGGAGTGAATGCCTTTGTGCTTTATAGGCAGTGTGCTGACATATCAGACGTATCAAGAGGACGATTCTTACAGGATCTTGCCCGAGAATTAGTTTTATGTACCACATTAAAACGACGAGTCTACAATGACCGTCTTCCAAGAGAGCTAAGACTGACAATGAAACGGATTCTTGGGGAAGATTTACCGCCAGAACCTAGCCGCATTGAGTCAGCTGTTGGTGAAAATGACAAAAAGACTTGTAAGGTATGTCCAGCAAGGCTGAAGCGACGCCCAAGGTACAAATGCGTTGCATGTCATAAGCCTATATGCTTAGGCTGTTCCAAAACAATCTGCATCGACTGTACTGACTGAGACTGAATTTAGAAGACTAGAAGATTCTGTGGTAGTTCCTATATTATTTTAGTAATTAAGTTGAAGAAGTAAGAAATTTTATTTTTTTGTTAAAAAATAAGTCTGTTTGTTTATTTCATAACACTTAAGAAGTGCGTCTTTTATAGAATGTGATTTTTTCGTAACTTTTGCCAAATGTCCTAATAAATGTTGATTAATGCTTAAATTGGATTTAATTTTAGTCTATATCATTAAAAAAAGGGTTTTTATTTTGATTTTATACCAAAAATGTCTAATTAATAATTAAGTTCATACTATTGACATAAATTGCGTAGACGTCTATAAAACGTCACATCACCATTTATGAGTCATCAAAACCACATCGCTACTTAAAGGTTAAATTATATTTGGATAGGTCATACCTATCTGTAGTCAAAAATTTCTTAATTAAATTATTAATATCTATTAAATTAATTCTATTGGTATAATTGTTACAATTAAATGTCAAATTTAAATTATTGTTACATGATAAATTATTCATTAATAAATTTAAATCATGCCTTATTTTATTCTCCTGTGGACAACCCTATATATAAGGCAATGTAAACAAGATAATTTTATGTACATTTAAAGTATTGAGGTAATCAATATATTTTAATAATTGATTTTTGTTTATATTGCCTCTTCTCCCAACAAGAATTATTAATGTGCTATTAGGACAAATCTTACTAGTTAAAACTTTATTCATTATATGACTAAAGGATGCTCCAGGCATACAATTATTACTAATCAATTGTCCTTTTAAATGCTTATTTAACATCATGCCCAAAATTTTACCTATGTCATCACAATACATAATAACTTTGTGTTTTTTAATATTAACTACTTTTTAAGTTTTTATTCTTTGTTATGGCACCGTCATAGAGTGTTGGTAAAAATAAGGAGTCATTGCTATTTACACATATTGTCCCCGATGAACATGGTATGAAGCGTTAATTCTCACTCTGATGTTTTATTAAGGAGTCAAAGCGCTCCTCATTGTATTTACATGACTTTACCAGATCATTCATGGCCTGTATGTGTTCTTATCTCAACCTGAGCCGATGCATATTTATTTGAGATAATTTGTAAGGAGTTTTTTGGCGACAAAGCTTCTGAATTGAGACACTCTATTTCAGTCACATAACAGTTTTTCATATTTTCCACCTCAATTGAATATAATTTAAGTTTATTAATTAATTCATGCTTTTTCTTACATATATTTATATAATTTTTTGTGTTAATTTTCGTTTTAATAAACTTTTGTACTTTCCTAACATATTTATTAATTTTTATATATTTCTTTAATTTTCTTCTACTGCATGTAATCCTTTCTGCTGTTCTTGATGTGACAAAATCATCACCAGTCAAATCGATTGTTGTGGAGGGTTGCAATGTTTTTGAAGATTTACATTCTATGAGCTCATTGAACAGACTTTGAGTTTGGGACACTTCCAATTCATCTAAGTATTGTTTTAATTGCATAATCTGCTCACTAGCCTCACTTAATTGCAACTGCAATGGGCTAAGCTTTCCATTGATGTCAGTCGAGTTGGGGGTTGTTGATATTTTTTTTACAGAAAGGTTACATTAATATAAGCACACACTGTGTGGATGGTATCTGGACGTTTGCCGCGTAGTGCGTTCACGAAATTTGGCGGCTGGGATTAATCCGAACAATTCCTCAGAGCACTCTCCATGGTATATGCGAAAGAAAATGCAAAGAGATGCAACATCTCTTCGCAGTGCCAGTGAATCGAGCCGATCGGAAAGCACTCGGTCGTCGACGATTCGAGCCGCTCTGCGCTGGATGCGGTCAAGTGGAAGGAGCTGGTACTGGGGAGCCTCAGCCTAGAGATGGGCGACAGTATTCCATGTGCGGCCGAACCTGCCCTTGTAAAGTTGCAGGCGGTGTGCTGGCATGAAATACTGTCCCGCTCTGCTGAGCACGCCAAGCTTTTTAGAGGCCCATTTGGCCTTCTCTTCCAAGTGACCACGAAACTGCACGTCACTCGATATGTCGACGCCGAGGATTCCGATACTGGCTGAGGCAACAAGGGGAGTGCCTTGAAACTGAGGAGATACGACAAAGGGGTTCTTTTTAGCGGTTAACGCGCAAACTTGTGTCTTCTGGGGGTTAAACTGGACTAGATTTAGTGGCCCCCAATCCGAGACTCTGTTCAGCAAAGACTCGACTTCAGACACAAGTTTGTCCCGGCACTCGGAGAGGTTTTCCCGAGAAATATTGGCTCGGCCGGTGTAAAGAGCATCACCAGTGCTGTCATCTGCATAGCAATGAATGTTACGGATTTGCAACATATCATTGATATGCAGAAGAAACAGCGTTGGCGATACCACGCAGCCTTGTGGAAAACCAGCATTAATAGGCTTGCAATCGGAGCTTGCACCGTCTACAACGACCTTGATGCCCCGATCTGCAAGAAAGCTGGTGATCCAATCGCACAATTTCTCGGGAAGCGCATAGGAAGGGAGCTTCGAAAGAAGCGCTTTGTGCCAAACCCGATCGAAGGCCTTCGCAATGTCCAAACTAACGGCCAATGCCTCCCCCTTGGACTCTATTGGCTTCACCCATCTGTGAGTTAGGTAGACCAGAAGATCACCAGCTGACCGACCACGGCGAAAACCGTATTGGCGGTCACTAATCAGCTGGTGATCCTCAAGCTACCTCATGAGCTGGCAGTTTACAATGGACTCCATTGTTTTGGAGAACAAGGAGGTGATGGCGATAGGCCGGTAGTTGGACGGATCTGAGCGGTCGCCTTTTTAGGGATCGGATGGACGAAAGCGGTCTTCCATGATTTCGGGAGGCCGGTGCTAACTCTGGAGCACACGCCCTCAGCACAATTGGGGGGATTCCGTCAGGCCCACTCGACTTGTGGACGTCCAGGGAGAGGAGTGCTTTGCGAACCGAGCGCTGTGTGAACTGCACTTCCGGAACACTCACACCGCGGGATGGTCGGCGGCGTACTCCCCCCGTCATCGAGGGTCGAGTTGGATGCAAAGAAAGAGCCTAGAAGATCGGCTTTCTCCTTTGCGGTATGGGCCAGTGAGTCGTCCTCCCTGTGCAGAGATGGAAGAGATGGCTGACAGAAATTCCCCTGGACAGCCTTGGCGAGAGACCAGAGTGCACGGGTTCCAGAAAGAAGGCGAACTAGTTTCTCGCCAATTCTTCCTATGTGCTCTGACTTTGCCTTGGCAATGACTCTTTTGACTGACCTAGAGGCGGAATTATACTTCTTTTTTAGAGCGCTGGTGTTTACATCCTGGGACGCTGATGCGTCAGCCCAGGCTTGGTAGCACTCCTGCTTATAGCATGATGCTATTTTACAGGAGCGACCAAACCATGGCTGAGATTTGCCTCCAATGGGCACCACAGAGGAAGGAATAAAAAGTTCCATACCCTGAAGCACCACATCAGCGACAGAATCCGCAACAACGTTGGGAACGTCCGGCGAGAAGCAAACCCGCCCCCC